AAGCTTGTTCTAAGTAGGTGCTATAGACCACTGAGCCATCTCACCAGCCCCTGTTTTAATTTAAAAAGCACAAAAAGTTTAATTAATGGGTAAAGAATATAGATAGGGATAGATTTGCGTGAGACTGAGGCAGGAGGGGCTAGCCTGGGCTATACAGCAAAAGCCTGTCTTAAAAAAAAAAAAATCAGATTAAATATAAATGAATGTGTTGTAACACTGTGAAGAGCAGGAAAAAAAAATTGAGGCAATAAGATGGGTGTGGTGGCACATGCCTGTAATCCCAGTACTAAGGTAGAAGAATCACTGTGACTTCTAGGCCAACTTGATTACAGAAAGACCTATCCCAAAAATAACTAAATAAAAACTGAGGCTTATCTACATAAAAATAGGCTGTTTATATTATGGATGAACAAGTGAAATTAGGATTTCTTTTTTATTTTTGCAATGCTTGGATTAAACCTAGGTGATCATACTAGGCATGTATTCTACCAGAGAGCTACAACTGCAGTGCTACGTTACTCACAAAGAAAATAACTAACATCTATTTCTAACATTTGGATTTGGAATGCCCCCCACAGGCCCATGTATTAAATAAAGGTCTGGTCCCCAAAGTGGCACATTACTAGGGTGGTGAAACCTTTAGGAGCTGGGACCCGGTAGAAAGGTACTTAGGGTGTATGATGGGGCATGTAAGCCCAAAGGGGATGGGGCCCTGTCTCTTCTTGCTTCCTGAACCATGAGGACATGAAGCCTGGACGGTCACATACTTGCCAGCATCACCATCACCATCAGAGCCCTAGAGCAGTAAGTTTGCTCAACTTTGAACTGGAATTTATAGGGCCATAACAAAAATAAATATGTTCACTTTTAAAGTTAATTACTGGGGCTGGGGAGATAGCTCAGTGGAATAAGTGCTTCCCTGGCAAGCATAAGGGCCTGAGTTCAATTCCCAGTCCCGCGGGGGGGGTGGGGAGTTACTACAGGAAACTCATTCCAGCATTAGTGGACTAACACAACATCTAAGCTGTACTTCCTTCTCAACTA